AAAAAAAAAAAAAAAAAAGGTTTGACGTGACAGATATCCTAATTACCCTATTTGATCACTATACATGGTATGCATATACCAAAATATCACAAACACCCCATAAATATGCACAATTATTATGTATCAAAATAATTATGTTTATGAAAAAAATTGCAGGTAGAAATTCTTATGTAGTAGCTAATACACTGAATACTTAGTATGTTAAAACAAACATGGAATATTTTTATAAGTGGAAAATGTTAGAACAATGTAAACTTATCCTATACTTTTAAAAGAAATAGGGTCTTACTCAGGCTGGAATGAAATTGTGTAATCATACCTGATATAGCCTAGAACTCCTTGGCTCAAGTGATCTTCCTGCCTCTGTCTCCTGAGCTCCCAAGTAGCTGGGACTACAAGTGTATGTCCCCATGTTGCCCAGGCTGGTTTCGAACTCCTGGGCTCCAGTGATTATCCTTCCTCCGCCTCCCAAAGTGCTGGGATTACAGGTGTGAGCCATCACACATGGCCTTTTCTTTTTTTAAAGAGCCAGGGTCTTGCTTTGTCACCCAGGCTGGAGGGTAGCAGTGGCATCATAGCTCACTTTAGCCTTGAACTTCTGGCCTCAAGTGATAATCCTGCGTTGGCCTACTAAAGTTCTGGGATCACAGCCGCAATGCACTATACCCAGCTCTACTATACTAATTTGAGTTAAAAATTAAAAAGCATTTCATTTTATTTAAAAGTTATGTTTTCATAGTTTTCCTAAGCGTTGAATTTTCTTATGTATAAAAAATAAACATTTTGGGCCAGGCGTGATGGTTCATGACTGTAATCCCAGCACTTTGGGAGTCCAAGGTGGGCAGAGACTAGCCTGGCAATCATGGTGAGACCCCGTCTCTACTAAAAATACAGAGATTAGCTGGGAGTGGTGGTGTGCGCCTGTAAGCTCAGGAAGCTGAGGCACGAGAATCACTTGAAACCGGGAGGTGAAGGTTGCTGTGAGCTGACATCCCATCACTGCACTCCAGCCTGAGTGACGGACAGAGACCCTCTGTCTCAAAAATATTAAAAAAAGCATTTTGATATAAATTGGTTGTATTAATTCTTATATTATTTTCTGTTAACTTTTCTACACACTTAGAATGCTATATATTAATAGTTTCAAAGTGTGCAGTACACTCTTCATTTCCTCATTGAAAATACTAACATGTGCCTGGGTGCGGTGGTTTGCACCTGTAATCCCAGTACTTTGGGAGGCTGAAGTGGGTGGATCACTTGAGCCCAGGAGATCGAGCCCGACTTGGGGAAGATGACGAAACCCCATCTTTACGAAAAGTACAAAAGAAAATTGACTGGGGGTTGGTGGTGCATGCCTGTAGTCCCTGCTACTTGGGATGCTGAAGCGAGAAGATTCCTAGAGCCCAGGAGTCTGAGGCTATGGTGAGCTATGATCCTGCCACTACCCTCTAGCCTAAGCAACAAAGTGAGACCCTGTCTCTTAAAAAAATAATAATTACATAAAATTGAGAAAAAAATAAAATACTGGCTGGGTGTGGTGGCTCATGCCTGTAATCCCAGCACTTTGGGAGGCCAAGGAGGCCAAGGGGGTGGATCACCTCAGGTCAGGAGTTCGAGACCAGCCTGGCCAACATGGTGAAACCCTGTCTCTACTAAAAATACAAAAATTAGCCCAGCGTGGTGGCAGGCACCTGTAATCTCAGCTACTTGGGAGGCTGAGGC